GACTCAAAAGAGCATACGTTGCTTCCCCAAACGAGAATTCGTTCCTTTAGTTAAAGTTCCTTCCAAGAAATTATTCTTGGTACGCCCTGTATATAACTATCTCGTCTGGCCTTGTATGCATTCCCACCCGGTATGTGCGACGGATCAGCCGCCAAAGTTAGAATTAAGTCTGCATATTTGCATTCGTCGAACAACAATCGAAAAACAATGCAAGATGTCGTCGTACAACCATCAATAATGAACGCGTCTGTTAAAAAGCAGCATGCCATTTTCTTTCGTCGGCAATCATCGCCTTTATCGTTTCATTGACTAGCCGGCTATAAAAAAAGCAACAACGTCAGTTGCCATCGTTTATCGCCCTCGTTTGTTTATTGAACCTACCTACGACCCGCGTTAAGCTGAAGCACTAGCGCGCAGCCGTGTCCTATCAACTTGACGTCGTATACAGGTTTTTCAGCCAACATTGGCTAATTTCTACCAGTGACGCCGCCATTGAGTATATTTGAATTTGCCGCTCAAGTTGAGCCATCCCGCATTCTGCTGATGTGTCGGTATAACGTGAGTCGCCGGTAAGTCATTTCATTCATATTCCTTTCGTAATCATTTAAATTTCTAGTACATGTATCGAACACCAAATCAAGATTTATAATCAATGTACTTTATTTGTATTTTTAATCAATAAACAGGTTAATCATTAGTGTTCAAAAGCATAGTAAGCAATTACATTCATACAGTCCACAAAAAATCGAAGCTTCGCATCAGCACATGACGCATAAATTACTTTCTTGATAGCACAAAAAAATTTAAAAATTAAAAAAAAGATTTTTGATTTTTTTTTATCCTTTCTTCTTCCTGAATCAATATCGAATTTTTTGAAAATGTTTGTGCTATATTTTTGAAAAGAGAATTTAATATGCTATCTTTTTGGATTAATATAAAGAGCGTTAAAAAAGTGAGGTTAGGACCAATAACTTTTTTGCTTGACCCGGTATACTTTTTTTGAAAACAGAGCAGATCACTCTGAATATTTTCAAATTTTGAATTTACCATTTTAAGTTTCATCCACAAAGATCTTATAAGTATTACTTTTTTGATAGCACATACTTAAAACATTTTGAATTCTTTTAAGTCCTTTTTTGAATCTTTTTGCATCAATATTGAATTTTATTTTTGGAAAGAGAATTTAATATGCTATCTTTTGAATCAAATTTTTGTAATAAACATTTTTCTGTGTCTCATTTAATTGATATAAACATAGGATCACTCTGAAATTGACAATTCTGTTCCCTCGTATCTCTTAAGCCAGCGAATATTTTCAAATTTTGACATTTTCAGTTTGACACAAAAAAAGGCACATGGTATTCTATGATAGCACAAAAAATTTAAAAACAATTTTTCTTTTTTTTTGGATCAAAATTGAATTGTTTTAATTTTTTTGTGCTATATTTTTGGAAAGAGAAAATTAAGTTTTTTATATTATTTTGTGCTATATTTTTGAAAAAAAAATTTTTCATTTTTTTCCTTAAAAAAACTGAGATTAGATCCAATAACTTTTACCTGGCTCCGTATACTAACTTTGAAAACGGCAGACCATTCAGCAATCATTTTAAAGAAGCATTTGTAATATATTTTAAATAAGATCAAGAGCGCATGACGCCCATATTATTTTTTTGATAGCAGAAAAAACATTAAAAAATTAAAAAAGATTTCTGAATTTTTTTAATCCTTTTTTTATCTTGCTGAATCAATATTGAACTTATTAAATTTTTTGTTCTATATTTTTGAAGAGATTATTGCTATCTTTTTGGATAAATACATAGAGAGCGTTCCATTAAAAAAGATGGGGTAGGTTCGATTACTTTTTTACCTGATCCCGTATACTTATTTTCAAAACAATTATTAAAAAGCTAGTTTTGTGATAAACATTTTAAATAAGAAATGCAGAATGCAAATATTATATTATTATTATTATTATTATTTTGAAATTGGCATTTTTCTGATTTTCTCGAATATTTTCAAAATTTGACTTTACCATTTTAAGTTTGACCCAAAAAAAGCACATTTTTCATAGTACAAAAATTTTTGAAAATTTAAAAGATGTTTTTGTATTTTAAAATACGTTTTTGAATTTTTCTGGATCAATACGAGTTTTTTTATTTTTTTGTGTTATATTTTTGAAAAGACTTTAATATGCTCTTTTTGGATTAGTATAGAGATGGTGTACTACAAACAAAATGAGGTTAGGTCCGATAAGTTTACCTGACCCCGTATACTTATTTTGATAGATCATTCAACATCATCAAAAAAACTTTTTTAATAAACACTTTTAATAAGAAAATATAGGAGCGCCTTTTCCCCCCATAGAATCAGATAACTCGGGAAGGAACGACTAAGCTTAAACTGGAGGACTCGTAATGGTATAGACGCACAAACAGACGGACACAGTGCAGACAACAGCGTTCACAAAAATCTGAATCAATATTTAATTGTTTTACTATATTTTATATGTTTTTGGATGAATATATAGAGGTTGTTCCATTAAAAAAAATTGGGTTAGGTCCAATAACTTCTTTACTTTACCCCGTATACTGATTATGAAAACGGCAGATCATTCAACAATCATTATAAAGCAACTTTTGTAATAAACATTTTAAATAGGAAGATATAGGGCTGTTCTGAAATTGACATTTCTTTATTTTCCTCCATATCTCTTAAGCGAGCGAATATTTTTAAATTTTGACTGTTAGTACCACTTTAAGTTTGATCTAAAAAAGGCCCGTGACGCCTATATTACTTTTTTCATAGCACAAACCATATTTAAAAAATGTGGATTTGATTTTTTAAACCCTTTTTTGAATCTTTTTGAATTTTTTTAATTTCTTGGTGCTTCATTTTTAAAGAGAATTTAATATACTATCTTTTTGGATTAATAGTGTTTAAAAAAATGAGGTTAGGTTCGATAACTTATTCATCTAACCTTTTACACTTATTTAGAAAACGGCAGATCATTCAAACAAACATTTTAAATAAGAAAATATAGGATCATTCTGAAATTATTTTTTTTTATTTTCACCATTTCACCATTTGAAATTTGACCAAAAAAAAACGCCTATATAACGTTTTTGTTAGCACAAAAAACATTACAAAATTTAAAAAAGAATTTTGAATATTTTTCAATCCTTTTTTGAATCAGTATTGCATTTTTTTGTGCGATTGAAGAATGTAATGTGTTATTTTTTTTAAATAAAATTATAAGAGTACGGTGGTACTGGTTACGGAAAAATGTTTAAATCTTACCTACCAGGAATACATAATAAATGGCGACGTATTTTTGCAGTATCCTGAGAAACATTTCAAGACCGCACTTTAACTTCCGAATGCAACGCGAGAATATAATGTGCAAAAGGTATTCTTGCGCATATAGCCGCCTTTCCTCGCTAACAGAAGTACAGAATGTATATGCGAGGAAGTATTTCTGCCCCACAAACTATGGAAATCTTGTCTGACTAACAGGAGTACACTATAAACGAAGAGGTCGTATTCCAGTATTCGGAGGATATTTCTGATACGAAATGAAAAATGTTCTGTCGCTAACAGAAGTACATTGCAGACGAAGGGATTGTATTCCAGTGCCCGGAAAGCATAATATGCGAATACTTCCGATGTAGATCTTCCCTGGTTAACAGGAGTACATTACAAACAAAGAGATCGTAACAATATTGACACGGTCCCCGTAAATCGCTCGCATCTTGAAGAGGTATCAGGAGAATGTATATCCGAGAAGATATTTCTGCCCCTAAGCATTTGTCGAAAAATGTAACTAAACCTTTCCAGGCTAACAGGAGTAAAATGTCGGAAATCGGGATAAAAAGATGTGCAAGGAAGTATTTCTGCCCCTAATACTAGAATATCTGATAATGTATCAAAAGCGTGTAGACATATTGTATTGAAAATATATCAAAAATATCCACAAATGTTGGAAATAGTATCAGATCAGTACCATTTCACGGGTGAATATCACGGTGCGGCTCATTATTAGTGCAATTTGCATTACTTAAAGAAAAGTCAACATTTGAAAACAACCTTTAACTAATTCGGCTTTAGGTAATGTTCTTTGGCTACAGAATTGTACTGACTCGTCGTTTAATTAATAGCGATACACCTAAATTTCGATTTCGTTTGTCACAGGACCTTTGGGATTGAGACGCAATGTTTAGCTGTTTTGCAAGCTAAACCATTATTTTCCATTTCTATATTCTGATATTTTGTATACACATTTAATCAGTTATCCAAACTAAGAAGCAGCTATGCAGATGGCATATACATCTAACTCAAGAATAACTAATGCCCGTAAGTAATTCAAAACGGATTTCGCTCCGAAGCCTACTATTTTGAAGGCAACGCCGGATTTCCCCATCATTCACGAGAACAACCAGTCAGTCTAGGGAAATTTCTAACCCATACCAAGCGATTAAATCGGGACTTATGTCCAAGCACGTGATTAAATTGAATGTAGGTATACATATATTAAGCCTATCGCACATAAGCGACCAAATCCTTAGGATACCTTATGGACCGGAGCGTAAATGTCTTACACGTCGGTGAATTTCGAAATTAGAACAGCCTCAGTAATTTCTACCTTAAACCTCGGAATTAAACCGGCTAGAGTGTTCCTTTATAAACTGGAACATGAATAATGCAACAGAATTTTGAATCAAATTGTGCGGTTACACCATAGCAATCTCGTACCGTCCATTCCGGTTAACCGCATCGTCCGCCGCTAACGGCCTTTCGCGGCGGAATTTTTGTTTTCGAAAAATTATTAGACCAGTTGATTAAGCGCGACCGGCAAAGTGGGCATTTAAAATTCCCTAATTAGTTTTGCGTGCGAAAACAAAAGCCGCGTGCGCAAATTTATAGATCTAAAGTGACGAACGAGGGCGAGGGTACCGGCGTCCGGGGGCAGTTATGATTACCTACGAATTTTGTTCGCAACTTACCTTTCGAATATCGTCTAAATTGTGTATTTCCGGCGATAAGCCTCCGTGAACGCAAAGAAACTGTTGATTCATAAGCGCGGCGAGGGGCAGGCAGTCGAACGCTTCCATGCAGGCATCGTACACTCGCTCCGAATATTTAATTTTACCTGAAAAGTAAACAGAGATTCGATTAGGACATTTCACTTTTCGAGAGACTGCCGCTACCGCAGTTCATTCGACGAATTGCTTACGGAAACGGAAGAGTTCGGCGGATATTAGGGTACTGGTTAATTAACGCCGTTTTACTCGTAAATATCGCCGCAATTTGAAGATTTGGAATAATACTTCACTTATCTTAAGAGTAACGAGGGGTCGTAAAAGTATAAGAAACCACTTGAAGATCTTACTTTTCAAGATCTTAAAAAGTTCGAAGCAAAACCTTGACACGCTTAAGAGTAATGAAGGGTCGCAAGATTATAAGAAACAACTTAATTCGGGGTCGTAAGTAATTTACAGACCTTAAAAGGTTTTGAAGGGTTCTTAAATGTTGCATGAGGATCTTTGTAAAGTTATAAACCTTCGAACAGTATTGAAAGATCAAAGTATTGGACAGTTTTAGGAGCGCCTCCAAAAGGAACCTCTTAGAATCCGGGTCTTCAAGAGGATTTTGCAAACTTTGAAGATCTTCCAAGACCTTTTGACAGCCTGGGAGCTAGAAAACAATCAGGAAGTGCGAGTGATCAGTAAAAACTGCTGAAAGGTTTTGCGACTTTGGAAAAACCTGAAGCAATTTTGGAAACTTTGATCAGTTATGAAGTTTGCCGAAGTCTTAAAAATCATTGAAGAGCAACTGAATATCCTAAAAATGATTGTCACAACGTCCTAGAGTACTGGCATGGCACAAATTTAAGGGTTGTGGCAGGTCTTTAGAAAGCCTAAAAGGTTTTAAAAGGGCATATCTAACTTCTGACAGGAAATTTTTCTAATGTTCATCGGGGATTGAAACAATGACTCTTGAAACTCACTCAATGTTCTAAATTGCTTTTAAGATCATTGTAAACTCTGCCTTTAAGTTTTTCGAGAACCTTGAAAAAGTCATGAACTTTTATTCGTAAACAGTAAGTGTTTGAAGGTCTTTAAAGGTCCTAAAATTGTCATAAGTTAATGTAAGATTTTTAAAGGTTTTTGTGGACCTTAAGGTTTTCCTCAGATTTCCACCGTTAGGAATTCTAAACAAATTCTCAAAGTTCTAACAAACTTCGCTCGGAATTAAAATAGACCTTTATTAAAGTTCCACGCAAACATTGTAGTTTTAAATCCAATGTCAAACGACCCTACGACGAGTTCGGCGCAAATATAGACAGAGTAAAGGTCTGATTGGGCTAGACAATTTATGCCGAATTCGCCTCCGTATCGCTCGACATTATAATAGGCTTTTTATTAAAATTCCACGCAAAAGTGACAGCTTTGAGAACAGTGTCGAGAAAGCCGAATGCGGGTTCGACGCAAATCGAGACAGAGTAAGGGTCTAATTGGGTAAAACAATTTATGTCGAACTCGCCTTCGAGGTTTTTTTAAGACCTTAGATGTCCATCAGACTCTGTCAAGTGTTTAAAGATATTAAAACATCACAAACATTCTAAAAGAATTGGGATATCCTAAACAGTGCCTTGATTCCTTCAGTCTTAAAACAGTCTATTGGAATTGTGAAACGTTCCAAGATCTTAAAAGCTTTCGAATCCTTTAAAGATCTTCAAAGCTTCTTTTCAAAAAGTGGAAGGATCTCAAAAATCCTATCATCATAGTCTTTCTTCAAAAACTTAACAGGATATTCATAAGGATTGAAGAGGAAACATAAAATCTTCAATATTACTAACAATTTAGGAGTTCGAATAGTTTTTCATGAATTAAGAGACCATCAAGATCTCTAAAGGTCTCCAATGAACTTGAACGTCGCAAAAGATTAATGGAGAATTCCAAATATTTCAGTCTCGAAAATTTGCAGAGTATTAGAAGCCCTTGAAAACATTTAAATGGGTCTTCTAGGCTTTCTGAAAGCCCTGGACAATCTTTAGGAATTGTAGAAGATCCTAAAAGGCGTTAAAAAGGGCATATCCGAGCCTTCAAGTGGTTTGAAGCATCTTGAAAGGTTTTTAAGAGCCTGAAGAACCTCTTAGTTTCAGCTTAAAAGTGTCTCGTAGGCCATTGAAGAGAAATGGAGGATCATAAACACTGTCTCCAAAAACGTTTTTTGAATTTTGAAGAGTATTCCGTTTTAAAAAGTTATTGAAAGGTCTGTCTTTATGACGACGATCTGGAAATCCTGTAAGGGCCTTTCTTCCCGAAGCCATGGATATCGTTTAAGGGTCTCGAGAGAATTTAAAGTATTTTAAGAAGCCTCAAAGGCTTTTTCATGAATTAAGAGACCATCAAGATCTTTAAAGGTCTCCAATGAACTTAAACGTCGCAAAAGATTAATGGTGAATTCTAAATATTTCAGTCTCAAAAAGTTGCAAATTTCAAACGGAGTCTTAGAAGACCTTGAAAACATTTAAATGCGCCCTCTAGGCTTTCTGAAAGCCCTGGACAATCTTTAGGAATTGTAGAAGATCCTAAAAGGTTTTAAAAAGGGCATATCCGAGCCTTCAAGTGGTTTGAAGCATCTTGAAAGGTCTTAAAGAGCCTGAAGAACCTCTTAGTTTCAGCCTAAAAGTGTCTCGTGGGCCATTGAAGAGAAATGGAGGATCATAAACACTGTCCCCAAAAAGGTTTTTTGAATTTTGAAGAGTATTCAGGCTTAAACAGTTATTGAAAAGTCTGTCTTTAAGACGACGATCTGGAAATCCTGTCAGGGCCCTTCTTCCCGAAGCCGTGGATATTGTTTAAGGGTCTCGAAAGAATTTAAATTATTTTAAGAAGCATCAAAGGCTTTTTCATGAATTAAGAGACGATCAAGATATTTAAAGGTCTCCAATGAACTTAAACGTCGCAAAAGATTAATGGAGAATTCTAAATATTTCAGTCTCAAAAATTTGCAAAATTCAAATGGAGTCTTAGAAGACCTTGAAAACATTTAAATGGGCCTTCTAGGCTTTCTGAAAGCCCTGGACAAACTTTAGGAATTGTAGAAGATCCTAAAAGGTTTTAACGAGAACATGTCCGAGCCTTCAAGTGGTTTGAAGCATCTTGAAAGGTCTTAAAGGGCCTGACGAACCTTTTAGTAGTGTCTCGTAGGCCATTGAATAGAAATGGAGGATTATAAACACTGTCCCCAAAAAGGTTTTTTGAATTTTGAAGAGTATTCAGTCTTAAACAGTTATTGAACATTGTCTTTAAGACGACGATCTGGAAATTCTGTAAGGGGCTTTCTCTCCGAAGCCCTGGATATCGTTTAAGGGTCTAGAAAGAACTCAAAGTATTTTAAGAAGCCTTTGAAAAGGTCTTGAAGTCTTGGAAAGCTACCAAGGCCCTGTGTAGATTTGATCACGAATCTCGAAAATTTTAGGGGTTTTGAAAAGCGATTGCGGATCTGGAGACCTTTTATGAGCCTAGGGTTTTGTGGATTTAAAAAGTAAACAAGTTAAAAAGTAATCGTAAAGCGCATTTCCACTTGCATTCATTTCCCATTTGTAAGATGCAACTTCTATTAAAATCGTAAAAATCCGGCCACAAATATGAAAGATAGCGTTGCACATGGGCAATCCATTATTGACGTGCTACTTCAATTTCAGCTTATGAGAAGAATTTCATTTCAATGCTTTTCTAAATAAGAAAGTTGGAACTGCGCACGCGCAAACCTAAATTTTGAAACTAATGTTAGATTTTCCTTTGTTCCAAGCGCCTAAGTCTCAAATTTCACTTAAATGCTTCCATAGATAAGAAAGTTGGCACTGCGCATGCGCAAAATAAAATTTTGAAACTGGCGCTAGATTTTCCTTTATTCCATGTGCCTATGTATCAAATTTCATTTAAATTCTTCCATAAATAAAACAGTTGGCACTGCGCATGCGCAAAACCAAATTTTGAAATTGGCGTTTGATTTTCCTTTATTCCAAGTGCCTATGTATCAAATTTCATTTAAATTCTTCCATAAATAAAAAAGTTGGCACTGCGCATGCGCAAAACCAAATTTTGAAATTGGCGGTTGATTTTCCTTTATTCCAAGTGCCTATGTATCAAATTTCATTCAAATGCTTTTATAAGTAAAAAAGTTTGCAATTCGGTTTATAAATGGTCGAGATGCGAAAAGGGCACTGTGAATTTTGAATCGATTCGATTCAACTTTTGGCATTGCGTATTATATGGCTAAAGCTATGCCCATATTGAATTTCATGCAATTCAGTTCATAACTAACGGAGATGTAAAAGCGATCGAACATTTTTAAACAAAGTTATCGTTCACACGGACAGATAGATGGACAGACAGACAAAGGAACAGACGGACAGACCAACAGGCAGACGACAGATAGCAATGCAAAATTATAAACGATCTCGTTAATAAACGGCAAAAGTGTAAAATTATGGAACATGTAAAAAACGGTTTTTTGTTTGTTTTACAATAACTTTTTTTGTAAGCGGTACAGAAACAATTCCTTCCTTGGTACAAGATTCGACACCATAACGAACCAAATAGCGGACAAAGTGGCCACAATAGCGCATTTTTTTATTTTTGTGGAAATGCGCTAAAAAGCCATGGAAACGTTGTATAAGACCATAAAAGGATTTTGCCGACCTTGAAAACTCGACCATTTATGAATTAAGTAAATGTCTAAAAGATCTAGAAGGCTTTCAAGGATCTGGAGATCATTGTCATATAAGAACCCGTTGAATGCCTCCGTCAAATTCCTTGATCCATTGAACAAGCTCGGAAGGCCTTTCGACCTCAGTATTTAAAAGTAGGCAAGGATTCTAGTGACCTTAAAAAGTTGAACATTTATGAATAGTAATTAGACCTAGAAGACTTTCAAAGATCTAGAGATCATTTAGGAACCTGTTAGAAAATTACTCAGACTTGAAGTATTGAAAAGCTCGGTACAAGCCCCTTCGTCAGACTTGAACAGCCTTGAGTTATGAACCGTCGCTGAAGATTCTAGAGATGCTGATTTTTAAAAAGTGATAAACCTTGGGAGCGTTGTGAAGGATCAAAAAAAATTTTTGACCTTCAAAAC